ATGTTTTATGTCCTGACATTCTTTTGTATTTTGACTGTTTTATTTGATCAACCTTTAACCATACCCGTTTCTTTTTTACATTATGCAGCTTCAGTTACAGATGAGGTGCACCATGTAAACAAGCTCCCACAAGAAAAGATTGTTCGGTGCGGTAAAGATTTCAAAACATTCTATCGCACGGTGATGTGTAAAATCAAGACGGATCCACTCGACTTCGATTCTTTGAAGGAGTTTGAAAACATTTACACAAATTTAGTACTGCTTCGAAACGAAATGGGAACGAATATTAAAACACCCCTTGAGTATGATGACCTTCTTACAAAGCAAATAAATGGTGAATTCCCAAAACGTCTTTTGGTAGAAGGTGAAGGAGGCGCGGGTAAAACAACGTTTTGTTCAAAGATTGCTTGGGACTGGACAAATGGCTATGAGGCATACAAACATTTTGAATGGGTTATAGTCATCCCAATGTGAGAAATTCAAAATGGCAAAAGTGTTGGTGACATTGCAAAGACATACCTTTCAGATGGTAATATGGTTCAACCACGTCAGATTGATGACTACATATTATCCGAACCGTCAAAAGTATTGCTAATATTTGATGGGTTAGATGAGTACAGCAGGGACATCTTCAGCGACGAATCTGACTTCGGAAAAATTATAAGATCAGAGAAATTCAAAGAATGTATTATCCTCATCACATCACGACCCTGGAGAGCGAACCAGATCAAATCGCATCAAACTCTTTACAAGATATACACTTTCATCGGCGTGGAAGGGTTTAGTTCAAAAAATGTCTCATTTTATATAAATAAATACTTTGTGGATGACAATATGGCAGGAGCAGATTTAATCAAATTTATGGAAGATAACGACGTGATTAAAGAGAACATGGCCCCTTTCCCTATCTACGTAGCAATGCTCTGCATCTTGTGGCGGGAATCTACAAAAGAGAGGCGGGAAGTTATTCGTAAATTAAAGACATTTTCACAGTTGTTCCATCAAATGATCGCATTTCTGAAAGAGCATTATATATCGAAAAGTTGCAACACTCTTACCGAGTTTCATAGCATGGAAACAGAAAGCATCAACAAATTCCTGATAGAAATTGGTAAAATTGCCTTTTCGGGACTTTTGGACAAGCGATTAACATTCAATGAGAAGGATTTCAGTTTATGCAAAGAGGCCATGGACGTATGTAGTAAAATAGGCTTCCTTAGTCGAGAGAAGCAATTTGTTCGAAGAGTCAAAAGAGCAGGCACTAAGATTCAACCTGTAACATTTGATGTCTCCTTCCCTCACAAACTATTTCAAGAATACGTTGCTGCTCTATACCTGACCTCACTTTATGAATCTAAAGATGTAGAATACACAACTTCAATTAACAAAATATTGGAGGCCGATGTGTATGAATTTAAGTACCTGCTATATTTCACTTCATCTCAGGGAAAAGATGTAGGATTAGATATCATAAACAGTCTTGTAAAACAGAAATGTGAAGATGATTTTCTTGTAGATGTCGTATTTGAAGCCTATGACGCAGACTCTGGAAAGGTAGTTGGACAAGAATTTTTAGAGAACAGAATTCATTGGAAATCAATGAAGAAATGTCTACACACACACTGTCCGGATACCTGTTCATCATGGAGCAACATGCTATGGTCTGTGCTTTTCTTAATTATCTATATTTAATTCATGTATTTCCTTATTTTTGTAGAAATATGCGGTGAGAAAATAAACGTACTGTGTAGTAACATATGTATTAAAGCTAAACCCCCCTAAAACAAAAACGCAACATGACATCTAGTATTTGAGTAGGATCCATAATTATTACATCTTTTGGAAAAATTATTATTGGAAAGTCTAGTATCAGAAATGGGCTAAATAGATGTAACATTATAAACGGGAAAGTGGAGTTCGTAGAAGTTTGAGAGAGAAGGAGAGGGGGCGACTAAAAGTACAAGGAAAAGATGAGATGAAATTAGGCCGGTTAGCATTATCGATTGTGTATAATATATATTAAAAAAGTAACCAGATCATCAAAAAATTAATACATTCTTTTAAGAGTATCCATGGCTTTATAGCCTTTCAAGAAAAGAAAAATCTGATATTTTCTGTTGGTATATCTGAAATATTTCTTAAAGAGAGCCAATTTCTGTAAAAATTGCATTCAACATATATGCAGGCCTTCTATGAAAGTCGGGTCTTTCAAAAAACATTTCCCCTTTATTGCACAATCGTCATGTAGCCTTTCCATGAATATAGTTCCACTAAACATTATATAAGCTCAATTAAAGTGTTATTACAGGAAATTAACCATATGCTTATTTTTGCCAAAAAAAATAGTCATTCTTCAAAGTTTGGTAATTACTTAGGTTCTGCTTAACAAAAACTCATAAAAAGCAAAACAAAAAAAAAAATGTCAAAAAAGCATGCATCAACCATTACTATTTTATTGACAGATTCGTACCACTCTTCGACAACTCTGCGTACATATTTATTTGTTGTACACTTCATTGATGTATATTCAAAATAAATCAAATACTGAAAACACATGAAAGGAATGTCTAAAAATACTGAAATTTGGGATTCTCACGTTCACTTTAATATATAGTTTCAGTAACTTTTTTATCGAGGAGAAAGTTTTTGTTACATTCAAGGAATTGTTTATATCTCCATGTTGTACATTCAAACTATACTCAAATTTATCTAGTCAATAGATCAATTAATATTTGTACATAATCAACTCCCTGAAGCTTTGTTTTAGCCTTTCCCTGAGCACGTTGATATCTTTCTCAAAGGTATATTATTATTATCATTATTATTTCACATTTTTATTCCATCCTCCATATTCCTTTTTCAGAAAACTTTCATACTGCGCAGAAGAGAATGTGGCCCGACTGTATCTCGTGACCTAGCAGACGCTCTTTCTTCACAGACTTCATTAACAACATTAACACTTTCAGAAACGGAATTCCATGACGACTTTTATAGGATCCTGTTAGACCATGTTTCTACATCAAAGGTAATGGTGTGAAGAAATAGGCTTACAAGTGCATACTGAATGAGAGAGACAAAATATTTTCGAAGCGCTATTAACAGAAATGTTGGGAAAAGAATTCGGTAGGACTACACCCGATTCAATCTAAATGGTATTTGGAAAGATGATATAGATATAAATGGATTAGTGGGGGATAATTAACCCATTGTATTTGTTGGTTTAGAAATTATTTAAAATCCTCCGAAAAGCGTACTGGGTATTTATTTAACTCTTCAACATTCACGTATTCCTAGGACAACGGTACTATAACAGTTTTCAATTAATGACATTATACACCTGTTCTGTTAGAGCTTGGAATTAAATGGAGGAATTATCTTTATTTGGAACTTGTTAATAACTTACACTCTTCTATTTTATTCGTATTGTGTTTATTATCAAGAAAAAATAATCAGTTCTTTTTTAGTGAATTTCATTCTTTGAAAAGGTCATCTTTTCTTTTTTGGAAGTGAGAGTCATTGATTTATTCTCGCAAGTTTGCAGTCTCCTATCTATTTACATAATAATAATAATAATAATAGCTAGTTCTTTGTAGCGCTTTTCAGGACCGAAAGCCCTCTCAAAGCGCTTTACAGATATATATATTATTACCCCGGTCATCGGATTCAGGCTTACCCGCACACAATGTATGCACAATTTCCACTCCCTGGGGGCATTCCATCCAGGCGTCATTTTTACAAGCACACATTTGCTAATCTAAGCACATTAGCTTTCACATCCTACCGGGTACCCGTTTAACACCTGGGTGGAGAGTGGCAATTGTAGATCAACGTCCTGCCAAAGGACATAGTTGCGATTGATATAAATCACAAATAAGTTCCGATGATAAAAACTCTTTATAAACTTGTTAATTATGAATTTAATCGAGAAAATTATATGGTAGTCAAACGGGCATGTATTTGTGTATGAAGGGGGGGGGGGGATGCATGTCTATACACAAACATACATACATTGAATGGTTCTAAATCTAAAAGTACAGTGATCAATATCATCAATGACATTTTTTTCAATATGATCTGATAGGATACTAAGGCCATAATCCTCTGGAAGCATGTTCTTGAACACAACACCCAACCCCCCACCCCGCTTATTCATCGGCTGGCTGAGTCTTTGCAAAAAAAATCCTCAAATCCTGGACCCCCCCCCCCCCCCCCAAAAAAAAAAAAAAAAAAAAAAAAGTGCTCTCATCCCCCCCCCCCCCAGCATATTCAGCGACTGGCTAAGTGGTCGTGAAATTTTCGGCGCGATTTTCAAATTTTTAGACCCCCCCGCCTCTCCCCCCCCCCCTCGAAAAAATCCTGCGTACGCCCCTGGTTTCCACTATCATTTATCGTTCATGACTTGCTGGCGTACGCCGTAATCTCGATTTTATTTCCACAGATTCAAAAGTTAAAAGATGAATACTTATTAAAAATATACTTAATAAATTATTATTATAACTCTAAAAAAAATAGGAGGAAAAACATAAGAATTTGTCTCTATATATTTACGATTACCAATCAGTAACCTGCTGTTTGGAGAAGTTACTTTGTTTCCGGAATAGACCACTGATATTTATTTATCTTTTCATTATGTGCGTATACATATGGAAAATAAAACCAGCCAACCAACCGATTATAGTGACCGTTTTTGCTCAGAATTCTGAATCATCCCCCGTGATTTATGTGATTGCTTTTATAAAAATTGTTATGAGGGTTTACACTATTTTACCCACTTACTGCTTCATACATTATAATTCTTTTTTTTTCATTAATTGTATTTTCTCATACAAACTGACATGCATTCTAAGGGAGCGTCGGAGCTGCACCCATTATAGGCTTTGTTTGTTGGCTTCCTTTTCTTTGCCATTACCGTTGTTCTTGACATATATTTTTTACATATTTTTTAATTAATTTTAATGATTTAGAAATAAATTTGAATTGAACTGAATTAATTCAAATTAAGTTTAATTGATTTAAATTGATTTAAATCAAATTAAATATTTGTATTTCCACAGATCCACAAGTTAGATATTACAAGCTTGGAATTATATGATAACCAATCAGCATCCTGTTGTCTGGGGAAGTTTGTCAGTCTCCTGCCTCATCTTACAGACCTGATGATTGACATATGTTCCTTTCATGATGATTTCTACAAAGAGATTGCTGATCGAGCTTCTTCATCTCGGGTAATGTGTTTTTTGTTAAAGAAGCCAATAAAAAGAGATGCATAATACTTGTTTTGTGTCTAATTGGAGAGGTGTACGAGGTGCCACTCGTTAGAGACTGATGGGTTTGCACCATCTTTTATTCACATTTCCTACGTCACTTGCATGGGAACACCTTATTTGATTGTATTTCCACAGATTCACACATTTAAAGTTGAACACTTCAAATAATTATATTATCTCTACTTAAAAATGAAAAGAAGAGAGTCTGCCTCTAGACAAATAGGGTGACAAATCGGCAACCTGCTATGTGGAGAAGGTACTCTGTTTCCAGAATAGAGCAATTAATCCAGCCATATATTTTATAGCCGATTTTTATATTTTCCTGTGTCCATTATGTGGATATTAAAACCAACCAACAAAATAATTAGTCCATTTTCAAACAAAATAATTACTCCATTTTCCTTATCAAATTTCTTCTTATTGACCCCCCCCCCCCCCCCCACTCTCCCCAACTGTACAATTCTATATCATCTGCTGTGAATATGTGAATGCTTTAATGAATGCTACAATTTTCCCCATTTCATGCTATACCATGTTATGTATGACATTCATTTGAATTTCCACAGATTCAGAAGTTTATCATTAGTTCCTTGGACCTACATGTCGACCAATCAGCATCCTGTTGTCTGGGGAAGTTTCTTGGTCTCCTACCTCATATGACACACCTGGAGATTTGCTCATGTTCCTTTCATGGTGATTTCTACAAAGAGATTGCTGACCAAGCTTCTTCATCTCAGGTAAAATATACATTTTTTTAATGCAGAAAAACAAAAGATGCAAATATATTTATTTTTTTTAACCTGAAGTTGTGTGAAAGGAATACAAACAAATTGTTGTAAATATTCTATATACTTTTCCATGAATGTAAAATTGTTACAAATCAGGTGAAGAAAAAAAACAGTAGATGGGCTAGTACTAGTGTAGTACAAGTGAAGCATTATCTTGATTGAATCCAATATGTATTCAGTAGTGTGTCTTACACTAACTAATAACGCTGGCATTTGTAAATCTAAATGCTTTCGCTAATTTGATGAATTTCTAGTTTCATATGAAAGATTTGAAATTAATTTTCCCTTATACAATGTTCTACGTACTGTTCCAATAACTGCATCATTTCCTCAATGAAATGACAAATGCAATGCAAAACTAAGGAGATGTGAATTATTTGTTGACATATTATTCTTTTTCTTTGTAAATGTCATCAATTTTCTGGCTACTTTTACACGGGCTAGGGCTGGGAATTTTGGGTATATTTTTAATTCGGTAACCCGCTCAAATTTGAAACTTATAGATTAAAAAGTCACCTTCTAAAAAGTGCTAGATTCAGTCCCGTTGTTGTATCTAAATGTTCCTATTTCTTAAATTTGACTAATTATAGAGGCAAAATACCTTTAAATATGCATGCATACCTTGGTGAATATCGGAATATCTCGTATGAAGTTATTTCTTATCCATGTTTGGTGATGTTTAGTACCATTATCATGCCTCTGAAAGTAAAAAAAACTGGGGCAAAAATAGAAAGAGAACATGCGAGCTGCCATTTTGATTCGTGCAGAATAAATAAATCAGGCTAAAAACATTAATGTTGGAATAATAAAACGGCTTTCTAAAAAAATAATAATAATACTAATTATTCAAGACAAAATAAATATTTTTCTCTTATTCTAAACACGGCATGCTTCTTTTAAGAGCTGTAATTACCTAGTTATCACAACAAGATTCAATAATAATTGCTGTTGTAAGGCAAGTTCTGACTGGCCACGGAAGGAATGTGCAGTACACTTCATTACCATAGCTGTAATGCATGCCGAAACAAACCCAAACAAATATATGTGCTCTTTATACTAAGAAATCATTCAAAACTACGAGAGCACAATTGGAAAAACAACAACTATTCAAAATTACCATACATAACTTGAACAAAGAAACCAACATTTATCCAGAAGAAGCCACAGAAAAGTGATATTTGAGGAGTTACTAGGTAAATTGTTATCGGAATGTATGGGCCCGCTACGCGGTACGTGCAAATATATTGTTTATTTTGATCACAAAGGCTAGAATCCACTCTCCTGCCCTCTACGGTAAAAAGCAGTACCGGTATAACAATGGATTCAAGCATAGTGATTAGATATGTGCAGCACGCCCCTTTCGATAAAATATACCCAGAAACTCCTCGAAAATCACTATTTCTGTGGTATTTCCAGGACGACTATTGAATTCTTCGTCCATGTTATGTATTGTGTTTTACGATAATTTTGAGTAGTTCTCGAAGTTTGTGCTCTCGTAGTTTTTAACAATTTTTTTGGTATGATCACATACATTTGTTTGGGTTGGTTTCTTCAGTCCCCCCCCCCCCCCTCCCCTCCAGAGAATCCTGGATCATCTCCTGTGATTATGTGACAGTGCAGATTATTACAAGGGATTCCAACCTGTATGTCATTCATTTGTATTTATGGTTGTGCGACTTGAACCTTCAAGATGACAAATTAGCATCTTCTTGTTTGGGGAAGTGTCTCAGTCTCCTGCATCATCTTACATACCTGAATATTGAATCATGTTTCTTTTCATAAAGATTTTTAGAAAGAGATTGCTGTTCGAGCTTCTGATCATCTCCGGTAAAAAAAAATATATAATTAAAAAAAAATAACTGAGGAGAAATGAAAACATTGTTAACATATTTTGTCTTGTTCTTTGTATTGAGATTCCAGGTTAGAAATACAAATGCATGTAAATGACGTCAATTTTCTGGAAAATTTTCCATGGGCATAACACTTGTCAGCAATCGGGTAAAACACCAACAACAAAAACTACAACATGTAGATGTGCTAGTGATCCTGGTGAAGTATTTTCTGAGTCGAATTGAGTGCATTTTCAGTGCCTGAGGATACACTGATAATGACGAGATTTGTAAAATACCTACTTTCTCCAATTTGATTGATGAATTTCTACATGTAGCTTCGTATTAAAGGTTCTTAATTTTCTCTAATACAATATGCTACTGCCCCAATTACAATTTTTTCTCACCTATTTTCTTGCTCATCAGATATATTTTACGCCCTCTCCCCCCCCCCCCCCCCTTCAAAATTTTGGATCTTCTGCTGCGATTAAATGAATGCTTAATGTGAGAGTACAGGTTATCATAATGGTTTCCACTATTTTCTCAATGTTATGCTTCATGATCGATGCATTCGCCATTTATTTGTAAAATCTCAATTCTATCAATCTACAACCTTCCCCCTTAAAAAAATATCTGGTGATGCCTACCACACTTTGGCTAATATAGGTATGTACATAAAGTGAAACATATACAAATTAAAAGCATGAGAACTTATAATTCCCTCTCTACAGTTTCGTCTTCCTCACCTTTGCGGCTATATTGTGTTGTTTATCCACTGAAGTTTGTACTTATTATTAGTGATGCATACATGTGATATTAAGTATGCTGCATGAACATGCCTGATGCCAATCGATTTTCTATCCCTGCAGATCCAAACAGTCAACCTGGATTTCAGTGGGAATCATTACTTGCCAGAGCAAAGTCAGTCAGCATTCAAGCAGCTAGCCAAGTTTCTCTACTCTCTACCCTGCCTTACAACATTAGAGATCAAAGACAATGTATGTTTACCTGATGATTTCTTCACTGAACTAGCTTCCTTGGCTGCATCCTCCCAGGTAATAAGAAAAGTCAGTGCTCAGGCAGTAGAAACATGCATGGATGTAGAAGCACCTTTGCTGCTCTTCACCAATTTCCACACAGTAGTAAAACTTGCAAAGTAAAGGATTTTGTGCAGGAGTTTTTAAAACCAGACTCGTCCATTTAAAGATTAACGAAAAGAACCAGGATGAAATCGGGCAATAAATAAAGGAGAATAAACAGTAAGGTTATGAATCAATTACACAAAAAATGTATTGAGTAACTATTCTTCAGGAATCATACAATTATTTATGAAATTACATATGGATGAGAACTTAGCATGCTTCATTAATTAAGTATTGTGTACATGAAAATGTGAATTCCCCAAATAATCCTATCCTTTTTAAAATTTGAATTAGACCTTGAGTCTGTCAAATCTGTTCAGTTTATCGAATCGCTGTGTTTTTTATCACGCGGCGTGAAATATAGCTTGGATAGTAGAGGGTGAGGTAGAGAGAGAGAGAGAGAACGAGTGACATGAATTTTTGTTGGCAACCTAACATTAATGAATAGTGTTGGTAAAAACGAAATAGAACAAATACAAATCAGAGGTAAATGCCTCTTAGTTTATATGGCTCCGACACAAAAGGTGATGATGATGCTAAAGGCTTTACATGCTTTTTGGCTTGTCCGTCAGTCCCACTTTTCATTACTGCAATACTTGAGAACAATTATACCGATTTTAACCAAACGTTTAATGGAGTACATGTATGTATGAGCATACAAGGTTGAATTGAACTGATTTTGGGTAAAAGAGGTTAAATTGTACAGGTCACAGGCTCATGAAAGTGTCAAAATATTTCATTACCGCGATATCTTGGGAAGTATTCAAGCGATACAATCCAAACTTGGATCAAGTATGTATGAGCAGATTAAAGGGAGTGTATCATGGAAAATACTCGTTAACGCTGTCTACGTCTTCTTTTGGACAACTGCACGTAAACGAATGGACTTGATTAACTAGGTCAGCGCGCGCTAAACTGGGTCAGTGCGCGCTAGCGTTGGCGAAACAGACCGAATTAGTTCTCCTCACACTTCGGTTTCGCATATGTTGCACGCACATGAATGCTGCTGTCGCGTCGTCCGTAGTCGTAATCCAATTGGCCCCGGATAGGGCCACGTGAAAGACACAGTCTCTTCATGACACACTCCCTTTAAGATGAAGTGATTAGATTACGACTGTATTAGAGGGCAAAGGTGAAAGGTAAAAAACAGAATATTTTTTTTATTTTTGTGAATACCCCCCAAATGCTAGAAAATTTCTTGTATCAGTGTTAACTAAAAAGCATTGAAGCAAATCAGCTAAACTTGGACAAAGTATTTATGGACTGCTTACAAGGATGAACTGATTAGATTTCGGGTGTAAGAGGTCATGAAGGTGAAAGATTATGAGATCATAGGATCTTGAAAGTCTTTGAACTCCCCTCAGATACTTATCACTGTGATAATTAAACTAAAATATGAAATTCACAACATAATTCTGCTGATTTCATTATCAATGATGCATACATGTGATATTACTATGCTACATGAACATGACTGATGCCAATTGATTTCTATCCCAACAGATCCACACAGTCAACCTGGATCGGACGCAAGATTTTGTCATTCCACTTGAGAGTAATTTGCCATACAAGCAGCTAGCCAAGTTTCTCTGCTCTCTACCCCGCCTTACAACATTAGCGATCACTGGGAATATATATGTACATGATGATTTCTTCACTGAACTAGCTTCCTTGGCTGCATCCTCACAGGTGATAAGAAAATTCAGTGCTCAGGCAGTAGAAACATGCATTGACGTAGAAGCACCTTTGCTGCTCTTCATCAATTTTCACACAGTAGTAAAACTTGCAAAGTAAAGGATTTTGTGCAGGAGTTTTTAAAACCAGACTCGTCCATTTAAAGATTAACGAAAAGAACCAGGATGAAATCGGGCAAGAAATAAAGGAGAATAAACAGTGGGGTTATGAATCAATTACACAAAAAATGTATTGAGTAACTATTCTTCAGGAATCATACAATTATTTATGAAATTACATATGGATGAGAAATTAGCATGCTTCATGAATTAAATATTGTGTACATGAAAATGTGAATTCCCCAAATAATCCCATCCTTTTTAAAATTTGAATTGGACCTTGAGTCTGTCAAATCTGTTCAGTTTATCGAATCGCTGTGTTTTTTATCACGCGGCGTGATATATAGCTTGTAGAGTAGAGGGTGAGATAGAGAGATAGAGAGAGAACGGGTGACATGAATTTTTGTTGGCAACCTACCATTAATGAATAGTGTTGGTAAAAACGAAATAGAACAAACAAAAATCAGAGGTAAATGCCTCTTAGTTTATATGGCTCCGACACAAAAGGTGATGATGATGCTAAAGGCTTTACATGCTTTTTGGCTTGTCCGTCAGTCCCACTTTTCATTACTGCAATACTTGAGAACAATTATACCGATTTTAACCAAACGTTTAATGGAGTACATGTATGTATGAGCATGCAAGGTTGAATTGAACTGATTTTGGGCAAAAGAGGTTAAATTTTACAGGTCACAGACTCATGAAAGTGTCAAAATATTTCATTACCGCGATATCTTGGGAAGTATTCAAGCGATACAATCCAAACTTGGATCAAGTATGTATGAGCAGATTAAAGGGAGTGTATCATGGAAAATACTCGTTAACGCCTTCTATGTCTTCTTTTGGACAACTGCATGTAAACGAATGGACTTGATTAACTAGGTCAGCGCGCGCTAAACTGGGTCAGTGCGCGCTAGCGTTGGCGAAACAGACCGAATTAGTTCTCCTCACACTTCGGTTTCGCATATGTTGCACGCACATGAATGCTGCTGTCGCGTCGTCCGTAGTCGTAATCCAATTGGCCCCGGATAGGGCCACGTGAAAGACACAGTCTCTTCATGACACACTCCCTTTAAGATGAAGTGATTAGATTACGACTGTATTAGAGGGCAAAGGTGAAAGGTAAAAAACAGAATATTTTTTATATTTTTGTGAATACCCCCCTAAATGCTAGAAAATTTCTTGTATCAGTGTTAACTAAAAAGCATTGAGGCAAATCAGCTAAACTTGGACAAAGTATGTATGGACTGCTTACAAGGATGAACTGATTAGATTTCGGGTGTAAGAGGTCATGAAGGTGAAAGATTATGAGATCATAGGATCTTGAAAGTCTTTGAACTCCCCCCGATACTTATTACTGTGAAAATTAAACTAGAATATGAAATTCACAACATAATTCTTTTGATTCCATCATAAATGATACATGATATATTATGTTCATGCCTGATGCCAATCAATTTTCTATCCCTACAGATCCAAACAATCATCCTGCAATTACAGATGTATCCCATGGCACCTTTGGTACTAAGTAATTTGGCATCCAAGCAGCTTGACAAGTTTCTCTGCTCTCTACCCTGCCTTACAACCTTAGTGATCAATAGGAATGAACGTTTACGTGATGATTTCATCACTGAACTAGAATCCTTGGCTGCATCACCACAGGTAATAAGAAAAGTCAGTGCTCAGGCAGTAGAAACATGCATGGATGAAGTAGCACTTATGCTGTTCTTCATCAATGTTCACACAGTAGTATAACTAGCAAAGTTAAGGATTTTGTGTAGGAGTTTTGAAAGCCAGACTCGTCCATTTATAGATTTTTTTTAAAAGGACAAGATCGGGCAAGCAATAAAGGAGAAGAAACATTGAGGTTATAAATCAATTTAAAAAATATATATATTGAGTAACTATTATTCAGGAATCATAGAACTGTATATGAAATACATAAGCATGAGAACTTAGCATACTCTATGAATTTAATACTGTGTAGATGAAAATGTGAATTCCCCAAATACTCCAATCCTTTTTTCAATTTTAACTATTATATGATGCATACATGTAATAATGTGTATGCTACATGTACATGGCTGCTGCCAATTGATTTTCTATCCCTACAGATCCAAACGGTCAACCTGGATTTATATAGGTATAATGCCAGGCAATGTGAATTACTAAGTCAGTCAGCATCCAAGCAGCTTGCCAAGTTTCTCTGCTCTCTACCCTGCCTTACAACATTAACGATCAATGGGAATGAACGTTTACCTGATGATTTCTTCACTGAACTAGAATCCTTGGCTGCATCCTCACAGGTAATAAGAAAAGTCAGTGCTCAGGCAGTATAGAAACATGCATGAATGAAGTAGCACGTATGCTGTTCTTCATCAATTTTCACACAGTTGTGTAACTAGCAAAGTAAGGATTTTGTGTAGGAGTTTTGAAAGCCAGACTCGTCCATTTATAGATTTAAAAAATAACCATGACGAAATTGGGCAGAAATAAAGGAGAAGAAACATTGGGGTTGTGAATCAATACAAAAAATCTATTGAGTAACTACTCTTCAGGAATTATAGAATTAAATATGAATTTACGTAAGCATGAAAACTTTATACTTCAAGTATGAAATATTGTGTACATGAATATTTGAATTCCCCAAAATATCCTATCCTTTTTCCAATTTTAACTTGACCTTGAGTCTGTTCAGTTTATCGAATTGGTGGTTTCATCACGTGGCGTGAATTAGCTTGGAGAGTTTAGGGTAAGATAGCAAGAGAGAACGAGCGAAATAAACTTTTGTTGGCAACCCAATGTTAAATCCCCACTGCACTACTTGTAGCTAATTGCGCCCTCTATATAGCAAACGATGCATACTCGGTGTCTGTTGGTACCCCATGCACCCCTTTTTATGCCTCCGTTACGAAGTAATTATGTTTTCGGGTTGTCCGTCCGTACGTCCCGTTCTCGTGATCACGTTATCTCAATAACCGATTGATGGATTCCTGCCAAACTTAGATCATGTATGTGTTTCTTGACAAAGCTAATGAATTGATTAGATTTTGGGTTCACAAGGTCACAGTGCTCATTATGTATGCAACAAGAGCTTGTGATCACGTTATCTCAAGAACTGATTGATAGATTCCTGCCAAACGTAGGTCATGTATGTATCTTGCAAAGCCAATGAATTGATTACATTTTCGGGTCACGATGTTAAAGGTCACAGGGCTCATTATGTATGCATAAATATCTCGTGATCACATCAATAGAACCGATGGAGGGATTACCATCAAACTTAAGTCATGTATGTATCTTGCAAAGCTAATGAACTGATTATATTTTAGGGACATAAGGTCAAAGATAAAAGGGTCATACATGTATATGAAAAAAAGCTTGTACTCACGATATTCTGACAACGTGTTAATGGATTACAACTAAACTTGAATTTGAAAAATTGCTTCTGTTTTGGTATGTGAAATGGCTCTATGGCGGAGGCATCATTTTCAACTTCATGCAGTCGAAGTTCCATCTAGTTCTTATCTTGATTGAGAACTGATTTGATGAGATAACCATGACCTGCCAGTGACCTTGCAGCGAGGTCTAACCCCCCTGGCCAAACTAGTGCAGATGTGCTTTAATGAATAGTGTTGGTAAAAACAAAGTAGAACAAATGAAATCCCAAGGTACATGCCTTTAATTGTTTGTTATGCCTCTGTCACTGAAGGTGATGCATGGAGGCAATACATATGTGTTTGGTCCCGCTTCTCGTTACCGCGATAACTTGAGCAAAGTTACATGGATTTTAACCAAACTTGGATAGAGTATGAGCATGCAAATATGAACTGATTTGATTGTGTGTAGAACAAGTAAAATGTTAAAGGTCTCAGACTAAAAAAAGGTGTTTAAAATACAGATAATATTCCATTACCGTGATGACTTGGAAAATATTAAAGCAATACAAATCAAATTTTAATGAAGTACTATAAAAGGATGACTGATTTAAACTGATAGAGGGGAAATAGTCAGAAAGTCATTAAAATATTTGAAAGTACAAGAAGTAAACAAGGAAATATTGTTATACTGTGTTAACTTGAAAAGGATCAAAGCAATTCAAACCTAACCAAACCAAACAGATATTCATATATCTTTTAGCATACCAGGATGGACTGATTAGATTTAGGGTCTAAGAGGTCATGAATGTGAAATATTATAGGATCTTGAAAGTGTAACAAATTCTAGAAAATATATTATTACTGTGATAATTTAACAAACATCGAACCTAGTATGTAAAACCACTCAAATATTAAATGAAAAAGCATATGGGTTCATGAGGTCAGATGTTACAGGTCACAGGATAATTTATCAATGAATATACATATGCAGGGCATATTAGAGACGCTTTCCTATTCATCCTGTGTCATTGAGAGGGAGGGGGCTGGAGAGCTACACCATGATGACAAAGTAATTTCTGCCAAACTGTGTTGAAACTCCTTTTGTTTGAGAAACCACACAATATGAAATTTGTTTTCCTCTCGATTTGTACATCATCGCCCCCTCTCATTACTGCTGTTCAATTTGAAGTATCTAATAAATAATAATATCTAATGAATTGTAATGGTAATTTTTACTAACTCTACATGTACGTGTGTAACCTTGCTTATAGATTGACATGTATAGCCCAAAAATAGTGGTTTCAAAGAAAAATAAAAGTGCATTCATAGGGGGAAACGGAACTTGTCTTCTTTACCCTCCTTTTGCAGGCAATCACATTTTATTTATTTCCTTTTTTCTCTAAAAATCTGTGTGCACTGTCATGTCAGAATCCTTACTTCAGGGAAAAACAGCATATCAGCATGATACAGGAGTGGTCAGTAAGAAAACAACAAAAACAACAACGGTGGTCAGAACAACAACGACAACAACAACAACAGTGGTTACAACAACAGCAACAGGAGCAACTACAACAACAACAACGACAACAACAACGACAACGGTGGTCAGAACAACAACGACGACAACAACAACAACAACAGTGGTTACAACTACAACAACAACGACAACAACAACAACGGTGGTTAGAACAACAACGACAACAAAAACAACAACAATGGTGGTCAGTAAGAAGATATCATCAACAACAACAACTCAACCAGTGTGAAAGGCCAATGCCTAGTACACACCAACAGCCATACCCCCCTAACCATGTTTCCCTGCTGGAGTCAGCACCACCTTCTGGACAGTTCAAGAGTTTTCATCACAGAGGTATTCAATCAGAGCCAGAACAAATCAACCAACTCTCAACTTATCAGCAACTTTCACCGATAACGCCACTCCAATCTACATTTGCACCAGATCAATCGACCAACCAACAACTTGAGGAGTTTGATCAGTATCTGCAGTCCTATCTTTCTTCCCAGCATAACGCAAATAATGGTAATGGAACTCAATACTCATCAAACTTGAGTTATCAAGAAATGCTAGAACATTCGCCACACCATGGTCTAGGAGAAGCAACACAGGACACCGTTGCAAGCCAGAGACAGGAAGTTGCAACCCCAATAGAAACTGATGACACCTTGCTATCATCATCTTCAGTATACATCAATTACCGAACTTCAGTGTATCAAGGAGGGCTGTCAATTGGAAAGAAACCAATCTATGAGAATGTTGATACCCTCGCCATGCCCTCAACCAGTGGATTGAGTTCTGCACAAAGCAGAACTGATGCAGGTATGGAAATCAGGCTCAATACTTTGTATATGCCCTTATAATCACCATGCAATGATCATGGTATGACAGGGTCAGGTGGAATATATTTTCTTTCATTCACAAAATGGGAAAATCATTGTAGAGTTATCACGGTGTCGTCACCATACTGTGCATCACATGGTTTAATTTTCAAACCCTGCCGCACCAATGATTTCCCTTGGCAAGATATCATTCTACAGTTGCCACTCTCCAGGTGTTAAATTGGTACTCGGTAATTAGAGTTCATATAACCCCTTTCGTCTAGTGTGTTAGGACAAAGCATTTAATTCGAGTAATGTGTTTTTCTTTCATGATGTAACTTTTAGCTATAAAACAGATATGTATTCTGTCAAATTATAAGTTAAACAAAAAATATTCTTTAGTTTAACCTGTAACGTTAATCATAAAAGAATAGGAATAATTAGATTTCAATATGATTTTATCAAACATTGAAAAGTACATGCAATCATATCATAGTCATAATTAAATCAAGTATGGGCAATCCCCCAAAGAAAGTGATACGTTATAAGAGAGTCTACAATACATGTAGAAATAACATCGTTGCTTGTATTGTATATGCATATTGTAAATACTTGTACTCGCATATAAGATTGTTAAGTTCTTTTCAAATACAAAATTTGTTATAAATTGTTCAAAGCTTTACTATAATTCAGTTTTATATTCTTTATTTGAGGTTCTTTCGCAACTGGATATCATCCCATTTTGTATTTCTTTTGTTTTACTGCAGCTCCAGTCGAGAGTAGACGAATTCCTGAACATCGGTAAGTAACATAATTATACGACTACCTTTTTCTCTTTCTCTCTCTCTCCCTCTCCCTCATTCTCATTCTATATCCCCATATCTCTCTCATCCTGACCCTCTCTCTCGCTCTCCCATTTCTCAATTCATCTATTTCTATTGCTGTCTTCAACATTTCTTCTACCGTTATAATCGTCTGTTTGGAGCCAGAACGGCATTTACTGATTATAATTTGACACACTTTTACGCCTTCATCACACTATCCTATTGTCTTATCGTGAGGCTTTTTATTTCTTTCTAATGACATTTGATGAAGTTATGCCATGATTGAAAAAAATCAGGTTGGCTTTGAAGAAGAAAACAAATTAAAAATTGTTATTCTATTAAAAAACATAAGCGGCCCTAGAGCAGAATTGCAGTTTTAAAAACATATATATATATACATCAATGACAAATTTAAATTACACGTAATACATATACATGGTAACATTATGGTAGTAAAATTGCTGTTCTTGTTGTACATATAATATATAATTGTGCTCATACGACACCTGCTCCGGCTACACTTACTCCACGGCAATTCAGTACATTATTAGTCAAACTCCCAATCCCAAGCCCGGTTAAGAAATCTACACCGTACCCAACCCAACACCAAGCACAAACCCAGCTCAAAACCCCAACAACAAATTCAACCCCAACCCCACATTCCTGATGTACTAAAGCCTGGAGCAAGCTCTGCCAGAGCAAGTATCGGGTCGCCATCGTTGCACATTATGGCAGATTGATTGGTACATATACTGAACTCCGAATATTATTACCATATTTGCCATACAATTATATATAGAAAGTTAGATATGAGCTAGCCATGGATGTAGAGTATCCAAAATCCAAAGGATTGATTATTTGAAAACCATTTTCACATCCCAGTTTCCCCCCTCTCAACCTGGCTTTTAAGCCTCTCATCCTCCCCTCTCCGATCCCGCACCCTCTCTCCGTTTAAAAAGTTTCCAATTCCCAATCACTATTATCTTAATGTTGATTGTTTCTCTCTCCCTCACTCTCTTTTTTTCTAAACTTTCCATCTGCCCCTCTCTGTTTTTGTATCTCACAATCTCTCTATGCCCCCTCCTCCTTCTCTTTATATCTCTCTCTGTCTCTTTGTATCGTTATCTCTCTTCATCTCTCTCTCTCTCTCTCTGTCCCTCTCTCTTTCTCCCTTCTTTATCTTTTGTCTGTCTCTCACCCTGTCTCTCTCCCTGTCTTTTTTTCTCACTCTCACTCTCTCTCTGTCTCTTTTCCTGTCTCTCTCTCTCTCCCTCTCATGTCTCTTTTTTTTAATGTTTCTCTCTGTCTCTCCGTGTTTCTCTCTTTCCCTCTCCCTCTTTTTATCTGTCTCTCTATCACATAGCAAACGCAATAACAGTGACGATGGCGATGATGATGATGATGGTGGTGGTGATAGAGTTGATGAGAGCCTGGAACAACGTCCAAGAAAACGACGAGCTAAGACGGATCGTCAACCTACCTCACCGTAGGATCCTCAGGATGAAATGCAATAGCACTATTGAATAACATCCAGAGCGGAATTCGGCGGTAGCGAGAATTTATCTTACACACACACTGATGGAATACTTATTTGAATTCTAACATGTCCTATTTTGATTTCTTGCCATTCTACCTCAAAACAGCTGTTACATATAAATGCAATACTAATTTAATATGCAAACAGTTACAAGTACTTAACTGTCAATCAATTATGCAATATAAGTCATCAGGTTTTTTTTCTTTTCTATTGGCATATATTGATGAATTTGCTAGGAGTCTGAAATTGTATAGTTTTCATGATATCTTGCCTTCTTTTGTAATACAATAACAGTGCGTTCATCTTAACAGTATTACCTCTAGGATCTATGCAAATTGTACATGTTCTCTATATATTAGTTATATTCTATGCCACTATTTATTTGTTAATGGATGGACAGATGTTTATATCATATTAACTGATTATGAAATGTAATGCATGTAATGTTTAATGTTTGCTTTAGGCCATGGGTCTATTTGTGTTTTTTGCTTTTTGGGGCATCGCACGAAAATCCTCTGGCAAGACATTAATCTTTATGTGCCTCTCTACATCCAGGTGTAGGAAATGTTTACCTGTTACAAAGAAACCTGAAGGTCATATTTTCCTATAACGTTTGCTAGCCCGGCTAAAGTTGGGGTAATGATAATAATGTACAGCGCTTAGAACCATAAACTCTGTATACGATACCGTTATACAGCTTATACATTAAAGCGCTTAGTAGTATTTGTATTATGCGCTCTCTAAATGCCTGTTCACTTCTAACTTAGAAATGAAAGATTCATTCACTTATTCAAGAAATTATTTTTGTATTTTGCACATACCATGATGGTTGCAAGGTTTTATTAGCATTTGATAAGGTCTTTTTTATGTGCGGCTTGAGCATTTAATTTCAAATGTATTAGTGTTTTGGGCGCCTTACATATCTTATATACAATATCTTTGTGTATGGAGCATCATTATTTCTTGTATTTGTGTGTATTTTCTCAAACTCCGAGCAGAAATCTAGACTTTCTTCTATACATATATGTATGTATTGTGCATTCGCAAACGATAACCAGTTCAGGTATCAACAGATTATTGTTGACAGCTGGTCACACCAACAGTCTCTGTATTATGATCCCTAATAGGACATTCAAATTCATGTTAATTTATACATTTAAAGTCAACTTTATTTCAGTGAAAGAAAATCAAAAAGTTAAATGGATATTACACTGGTCCTCTGTCAGAAGAAGAGAAATAGGCTTACTTCCTCCTCAACTGAAAAGAGGCAGGGTCAGGAATGGCTAAGTTTTTTTCATAATTTTATCAAGGAAGAAATGCCAAGCAAAGTGAGCTGTGATATGTATGAGTTATTCAAACGATTGAATAAGTGAACTCTAAATGTTATATTGGACATATCAAAGGACTGCATATAATTTATTAAAGGGAAATCCACCCTAACAGCAAGTTTGTTTAAAAGAAAGAAGAAAAATATGAAAAGCAGTTCAGTGAAAGTTTGAATGAAATCGGACAAACAATAATAAAGTGCCATATATAGCCCAACCGTTGTTAGCTGATTTATAAAGTGCTTTAATTACCAACCATAAGTCTGCAAGTGTTTGTTTAATATTACACATTTATCTTACAAATGTATTTCAACGATTGCCATTAGACCATGCAGTTACTAGATGGATAGAAAGATATATAGATAGATGAATGGTCTGTTGATAACAATTTTGTTTTAAAGATAAATTTAAAAGGATAGTGTGCACACAAAGAAAATAATCAGCATTGACAACAAACTAACAATTTAACGATTAGCATATTGTACCACATCTCAATTTATTTTGTATAACCTAATACGGCATGTGATTCAATATTCTACGTGAAAATGTTAAACCTAAAGATATTGGTGTAATTGACTTTGAGGGGTCTGAGTTATGTCATGACAATGTTAAAAAAAGATATCAAAACCTAAAAGCATTGGTTGATATATTTCTGCATTAATCTGTTAAATATAGCAATTGGAATTGTAATTAATTTTAATGAGTCCGTCCCATATAAAAAGCTTAAAGAATATGATAGAGGTATTATTATGTTTCAAGACAAGTTTCACTTGAATGTGCTGTCTAACAGTTTTCATTGAATAATTATGTTTGTTTGTACTTGAGAACATTTATGAAATAAAATCACTCATTGTCATTCCATCAATGCCAATAAATGCATACTTGTCACTGTTCTTACTGTGCCAGACCATAGGTATTACGCCTGGAGTTGCGATCAATCATACACAAATTGGCAACTCTTTGACGTATCTTGCGAGCTCCCCTTCCTTTTTTTTTACATGAATTTCATAACTTTCATTTTCTTTGTTATTGATGAAGGAATTTATTTGTTCACACATTGCTTGAATAATAACATATTTGAAATAATGTGATTGACAACAAATATTTGTTTCCGATTTGTTTTAGTTCATAAAGAGCAAATGGGAGGGGAGCTCACAAGATACGTCACAGAGTGGCCAATTTGTGTTTGATTGATCACAATTTCAAAAATACTTAACCTTCTTAATTTTAACCACAATTTCCTACACTTTCAATGACCTGTTCCTCTCATTTTTCTGCTTCTATCAAAACCAACTTAATATCAGGGTGGACTTCCCCTTTAAGAACAGGTATAATGTGCTAGTCAAACTATATTTTTTCTTCAAATAAGGGAACCATTATGCAGCGTTTAATTCCTTGAAAAGTGCAATGGAACAAAAGGGGTTAGCTAGAACACGGTCCTGCTTGTATTTGATTGTCTGGTTGTTTATATTAGTTAGTTTGTTGTTGTTGTTGTTTGAGTGTCTCTCTTTGTCCCTCCATCTCTTTCCCTTTCTCTTTCTCTGCATGTCTCGCTCTTCCCGTCTTTCTTTCTCTTCCCCTTTCTCTTTCTCTGCATGTCTCACTCTTCTCGTCTTTCTTTCTCTTAACCCTTCTCTCTTCCAGGCTCCTCCTGTGCCTATATCTTTCCATACATGTCTGTTTTCCCTGACTTCACATTTCACCTGTACAGGGTATAGTTGTAAATATGGCTGTCGACATTTTAACGGTCTTCTCTCTCCCCCTCTGTTACTCTCTCTCTCTCTCTCTATCTCGCACTCTTTCTCTCTGTCAAGTTCTCCCTGCTCTCCCCTTTTCTCCCCTCTCTTACACGCTCACGCACACACACACACACACACACACACACACAACTTTTCTCTCTCTTTCTCTCACTCTCTGTCAAGTTCTCCGTGCTCTCTCTCTCTCTTTCCCTTTCTCTGCATGTCTCACTCTTCCCGTCTTTCTTTCTCTTAACCCTTCTCTCTTCCAGGCTCCTCCTCTGCCTATATCTTTCCATACCTGTCTGTTTTCCCTGACTCTCTCTCTCTCTCTCTCTCTTTCTCTGCATGTCTCACTCTTCCCGTCTTTCTTTCTCTTAACCCTTCTCTCTTCCAGGCTCCTCCTGTGCCTATATCTTTCCATACCTGTCTGTTTTCCCTGACTCTCTCTCTCTCTCTCTCTCTCTCTCTCTCTGCATGTCTCGCTCTTCCCGTCTTTCTTTCTCTTAACCCTTCTCTCTTCCAGGCTCCTCCTGTGCCTATATCTTTCCATACCTGTCTGTTTTCCCTGACTCTCTCTCTCTCTCTCTCTCTCTCTCTTTCTCTGCATGTCTCACTCTTCCCGTCTTTCTTTCTCTTAACCCTTCTCTCTTCCAGGCTCCTCCTCTGCCTATATCTTTCCATACCTGTCTGTTTTCCCTGACTCTCTCTCTCTCTCTCTCTCTGCATGTCTCGCTCTTCCCGTATTTCTTTCTCTTAACCCTTCTCTCTTCCAGGCTCCTCCTCTGCCTATATCTTTCCATACCTGTCTGTTTTCCCTGACTCTCTCTCTCTCTCTCTCTCTCTGCATGTCTCGCTCTTCCCGTCTATCTTTCTCTTATCCTTTCTCTCTTCCAGGCTCCTCCTGTGCTTATCTTTCCATACCTGTCTGTTTTCCCTGACTCTCTCTCTCTCTCTGCATGTCTCGCTCTTCCCGTCTTTCTTTCTCTTATCCTTTCTCTCTTCCAGGCTCCTCCTGTGCCTATATCTTTCCATACCTGTCTGTTTTCCCTGACTCTCTCTCTCTCGCTCTCTCTCTCTCTGCATGTCTCACTCTTCCCGTCTTTCTTTCTCTTAACCCTTCTCTCTTCCAGGCTCCTCCTCTGCCTATATCTTTCCATACCTGTCTGTTTTCCCTGACTCTCTCTCTCTCTCTCTCTCTGCATGTCTCGCTCTTCCCGTATTTCTTTCTCTTAACCCTTCTCTCTTCCAGGCTCCTCCTCTGCCTATATCTTTCCATACCTGTCTGTTTTCCCTGACTCTCTCTCTCTCTCTCTCTCTGCATGTCTCGTTCTTCCCGTCTTTCTTTCTCTTAACCCTTCTCTCTTCCAGGCTCCTCCTGTGCCTATATCTTTCCATACCTGTCTGTTTTCCCTGACTCTCTCTCTCTCTCTCTCTCTCTCTCTCTCTGCATGTCTCGTTCTTCCCGTCTTTCTTTCTCTTAACCCTTCTCTCTTCCAGGCTCCTCCTGTGCCTATATCTCTTCATACCTGTCTGTTTTCCCTGAGTCTCTCTCTCTCTCTCTCTCTCTGCATGTCTCGTTCTTCCCGTATTTCTTTTTCTTAACCCTTTCTCTCTTCCAGGCTCATCCTGTGCCTATATCTGTCCATACCTGTCTGTTTTCCCTGACTCTCTCTCTCTCTCTTTCTCTCTGCATGTCTCGCTCTTCCCGTCTTTCTTTCTCTTAACCCTTTATCTTCCAGGCTCCTCCTGTGCCTATATCTTTCCATACCTGTCTGTTTTCCCTGACTCTCTCTCTCTCTCTCTCTCTCTCTCTGCATGTCTCACTCTTCCCGTCTTTCTTTCTCTTAACCCTTCTCTCTTCCAGGCTCCTCCTGTGCCTATATCTTTCC